AAAAAAAAAGGCACTTAACAGCTCTGATTTTCAGTCTTATAGAAATAGGTACAATAACAATATTATCTCATGTGTTTGCCAGGGGTTTAAATAATGTATTACATGCCTGAGGCTTGGAGGTGTGTTCACCAAATATAGGTTACCGCTGTTATTACTCTACTTCCACCCTGCCACCAAGGCCTGCCCAGAATGTAGGACTCCTAGCGACCGGCTAAACAGTCACAGAAGGAAAGCAGGCTATGCTCTAATTTTACTGCAAGAACCTACTGAGTCAAAATGAATGAATGAATAAATAAATAAATAAATAAAAACTGACTAATCAATAAATAATAAATAAATAAAAACTAAGTCCTGCTAAAGCTTTTGGGAAACATATCATTTTTAGACCAAGTCAAGCAAATGAAACTCCCTAATTCTACATTCTGTTTGAGAAAACTACAGAAACTTTAAAATTCTTTGAATCTGTTTCATTAGGGATTTCCTAAAACAAAAATAAAGAGGAACATTTACAAGGAATTAAAGTTCTCAACATATTTGTTATATCCTATCCAACAGAGTAAAAGTAGCTACACACCTTGATCTTTTATGTAAGTTACATACAAGTCTTCGTTCTAAAGAGGAAACCCACCTCCTTACTGAAGAACCTGTCCAAGATAGACAGTGCATGGTCTCTGCGATCCTCGTCAACGGCGACTTCGTACTCGGCCTGATGGGGGAGACAAGAGAAGGGAAATGGCAGCTGTCTCTTCACTAGTGAAGTTCACAGCATTTGTATTCTGTGGCTTATGGGATTCACATGACAGCATCACAACCAGGGCGGAGTTCCCTGATCAGCAAGTGATAGCCTTTCTTTGGCACCTAAGTGCTGTAGGGGTAAATATGCCTCCTCTGTTTAGGTGCTGGGCACTGAATCTGCGGTCTTGCACATCTTAAGCATCTTAAGCATCTGCTCTGCCAGTGAGCTACACCTCCAGTTTAATGAGTTTTTTTTTTTTTTTTTTTTGGTACCAGGGATTGAACTCGGGTCCTTGCGCTTGCAAGGCAGGCCACCGAACCGGTGAGCTAAATCCCCGGCCCCAGTGAGTTACTTTAGAAAGGGGCTAACAAAGTAGTACAGCAATGCTGTGCCCCACTGCATTTTTCCATTACTTATGGCAAAACAAAACGGACGAGGCAACAGCATTTTAGAAATGTCTAGAGTCATGTGAGAAGCTGAGTCAGAATTCCTACGGGAAGCCAGAGCTGGTGATATCAAAGCAGAAGTCATCTGCACTCAGGAGTCAGGGGTCAGGTGTTGGATCACAGGAGTGGACAGTGTCACCCAACCACTGTCAGAGGAAAAGAAGTCACTTTCTTGAGAAACTTTTTTTTTTTTTTTTTGTACTGAAGATCAAACTCAGGATCTTGCACTTATGAGGCAGGCAGCAGTGCCACTGAGCTAAATCCCCAGCCCGTTTGATCAGCTTCTTAACACTCTGGAAGACATTTCAGGCCTGGTATGTCCTGCACAAACAGGGATGGAGGGATGGAAGAGAGTTTATCCCACAAGGCTCCCTCCCTTGCCAGAGAAGGGTTCCAGACAGCAGCTCCAGGAGGTACAAGTGACGAAAGGGCAGGACTGCCTGGGCTGGCTCCATCCCAGTGCAAAGGTGCAGTGACAGAAGGTGGTATCGAGGTCACATGCACATCGCTTCTGGTAACTGCTCCTCAGGTACAGCACAGCACCTTCAGCACTCAGGCCTGGGGACCCTGTGTCAGTGAGGGAGACTGTCCCACAGGGTCTATGCGGTGCCACCCTGCCACGACCACTCCAGTAGAGTCTGCGTGACAATGCCGGTCACCTGGCAGAAACCAGACCAGAGGTATCGTCCCCACGGGGTTAAGCCTCCTGGAGGTCCTTGGCACACACCGCATGCAAAGTCAGCCGTGTAGAGAATAGCTGGCCTCTCTGCCTGCAGTTTGGGGACATTGGGTTCATCTATAATTCTGTTCTATTTTGTCTTTATTACTATTTGTTCATTATCTGTAGAATTGTATTCTGGGCCCAGGAAAGGTTAGGAACTATTAGATGTTCCTAGAGATGGGGAGGTATTGAGGCACAAGAGGACGGGCGGCCAAAGTGCTGACCCTGAGCCCTGGACTGTGAAGTCCTGAAGGTGACCCTGAAGGTGACATGCTGAAGCCAGTCCTTTGTTTTACAAACTTCCCCTTCTGACTGCGTATAGGTGTGGTCTTACCTTGACTCAATGGTCTTAGCTTTTGTGATGGTATATAGGTGTGGTCTTAACTTGACCTTGTGGTCTTAGTTTTTACAGTACTATTGTCTATCTTTCTCATGCCTGCCTGTGCCTGAAATCACTCTTGAGGTGTACCCTTGAAACTAGTATATAAACACCTGGAGTTAGAAATAAAATTGCAGCAGCATTGGCAAACTTCACCTCGGTGTTGAGTGCTTTTGTCTGACTGTCATCGCCGAACCTGCTCCCACCTTTCAGAGAACCTGTATCTCCTCGTGAAATCCCGTGTTAGCTGCCCTACGGTCGGTAGCACCACCCAACCAGCTCCACCACAGCAGAGCAGAAGAAATTCTACCTGTAGCCATTTTGGAGGGGTGCCCAGGACCTTCCTGATGGTCTGTCCTACAGATTCCGACTTTCCTGGCCACATGCCACTGTCATGTAAGCCAGCTGCTCTTCAGATCGCCCTCCTACTGCTTCTGGCGTGTCACAAAGCTGCCTGAGCAGTGAGTGCTGCACAAACAGTGCCACCCGTGTTCTCTGTGAGACCACACGACAGCCATAAACAAAACCCAAATAAAACCCACTCCCCACCCCCATGAACTGGCTGTCACCTAATAAGCAACAGGCACCATGCTAACAGCGGAACAGTTCACCTGAAACAGAGCCCTAATAATAGTTTAGATGTTTTAACACACAGAAGAATTTCCGGTCCCTAAATTTGTAAAATTCATCAGTTTGGTAAGCATAACCAACTACATAAAACTTTGTATCCACGCTCCACCCCTGGAAAGAAGCAGCATATCCTACTACGTCCAAACCCTAGCTGTAAAAGAAATGTTTAGCCAGCCATGTGACAGACACACACACACAAAACACACACACACACACACACACACACACACACACACGTAATCCTAGCACTCTGCAAGGCTAAGGCAGGACTTCAAGTTCAAGCCCAGCGTGGCCATCTTAGTGAGACCCGACCTCAATATAAGAAGATTTTTGTTTGTTTGGTACCAGAGATCCAACTCGCGTCCTTGCGCTTGCAAGGCAGGCGGCGGTACCACTGAGCTAAGTCCCTGGGCCTATCAAAAGATGTTTTAAAAGGCTGAAGGTGTAGCTCAGTGCAGAGGCCCTGGGTTCAATTCCAGTACAGAAAAAAAAATTGTCCCATTTCTGAGTTTTGTCTTAGTCTAACGATAGTGCCAAAAAAAAGAAAGGTCTTAGGGAGTTCCAGGGGATAGGAAACAGACGGTAGAAGAGCCTCGATACTTTTTGAAAGGCCTTTACAAAGCTATGACACCAAACAAAGCAATGCAAACTAAGTGACGCAAGACAGTCTCCTGCATATAATAGCACTAGTACATATCTGCTGACATGAGGAGGACAGGGCAAAGGAGAGAAAGAAGGGTCAGTGTCAGGCTATGAATAACTAAACGCAAGACATCTCTGCTGCATGCAACCCATTTCCTATTGGTCAGTTACTTCTGAATGCTTGACGTTCTAGGCTTGCTAGTAGTAGTCACAACTCCTCCAACAGGATATATGAGAATGCCCAGTAAAGGCGACTGCGCTCCTCACAACTGCAGCCCTGGCAAGCACTTCAGGGCCAGGCGTGTCCCCAGCAGAGGCAGCGCCCTCAGGCTGCTGGAGCTGCCTCACTTCACTTCGCCAGCGGGCCTACACACAAGTGCCCAGCAGGGTCCACCGTCATTCAGTGCACGTGTCCAGTTCCACAGGGAATAGCACTGCCTACCGAACACAGTCCCCGATTAACAAGACACTGTGGCACCAGTCCATTCACTCCGCATCACTATCTGGGTCTAGTTTTTAAATTTTCGAAACGCCAGACCTGGGCCGTCCCTCCCCAAGACAACTGCTTACCACGGCATCCAGAAATTCAACACGCCTCTTGAGATCCGGGCTAGTGGTGCAGAACTGTCTGAAGAGGAGCCTTCCTATCGGCTGCTTGTCGCAAAGGCTGCTGTAATCCCTTTCTGGGGGAAGAAGGGACAGAAACGGGCAGGGGTAGTAGCACTTGCAGTCCACCGCAGGCTCTCCCATCCTCACTGAGTCTGTTGCGATAATGCCAGAAACAGCAGTTCTATCATATTTTCTCAGCTGCATTCCAGTTGCTGTTTAGCCTGGGGCACCAGGAACGTTCGAGCCCTCAGGCAGAGCAGAGGAAGCTGGAGGAATGTGTCAGGGCGTGTGACGTGGCTCTACAGGCCAGCGGTGCATACTGCACAACCTGCACATGTGTGACATGCACAGCAGGGACACACACAGGGGCTTTTCAACCCTTTCTACTTAGCTATGTTCTGTATTTTCACAAGTTACAAGTGTTGTATATGCTTAATGATCTTTCTAACTGCTCTTGGTTGATTTTTTATTTTTTCTTTTAAGTAGGAAATACTGTGTGCTTTACCTTAAACAGTGATTCTGTTCTGAGAAGAAGGCCCTCCTGTTTGGTCAATATGTCAAAAGGGGTTTAAAATGAAACTTTTACCCAGGCATGATGGCCCATGCCTATCACCCCAGCATTCTAGGAGGCTGAGGCAGGAGACTCACAAGTTCAAGCCCAACTTGGGCAATTCAGTGACCTAGTAAGACCTTGTCTTGAAATAAAAATTATAAAAATACTGAGGGTATACCTTGGTACAAAGGCCTAAGTTCAATCTCCAGTATTGAAAAATAATTAAAACAAAACTCTCATGTTAAATAGGTTAATTTAACTTGAACAAGAAAACCAACTGTTCTTCTAGCAGTAGCTTTCCTGAAATGAACAAACATGTCCAAGGTCCATAAAAATGATCCCAAACCTGAAGAATTAAAATTCACAAAGACAGGCACAGTGATACAAGTCTGTAATCCCAGCTATTCAGTAGGCTGAGGCAGGAGGATCTCAAGTTCAAGTCAGCCTAGGCAACAGAATGATATCCAGTCTCAAGAAAATAAATTTGAGTCATTTGTAGAAGAAGAGATGGATCTTGAGACCACAGTGTTGAAACAGATCAGACACAGGGGGCTGAATATAATATGGCTTCTCTTGCACAGGAAACCCAAAATACAAGTAATTTGAGGAGCAAAATAGAGGACAGACAGGGCGATGAGGAGGTGGGTTTGTGGCAATAGGAGGGAGATCTGGGGAAGAGGGGAGAGGAGGGAGCAGGGAGGACAGGGTGGGGTGGGGTGGGGCTGGCCAAGATGCAACAAGGACTGCACGGACCACCAAGACATTATGGATGGCAAGCAGGGACTAAACTAAGTAATAACAAACAGAACTCATGGAAAGTGAGCAAGCCAAAACACATCCCTCAATTAAAGGGTTTATTAATGCCAAGTAATTCCGGGAATCTAAAGAGTCCTAGCTTTCTTCCCTCAGTACTGGGAACTAACCCCAGGATCTTCACACCAAGCTGCATCTCCAGCCCTTTTTCTTTTTCCTTTTTTTTTAAGAGTAGGGAAAATTTATTGAAAGAAAGAAAGCTTCTGTCTAAGAAAGACACAGAAGGAGGACCGAAAAATGGGTTGCCTCCTTTTTATTTTTAGAGTGGATCTCACTGAGCTGCACAGCTGGCCTTAACTTTGGCATCTTCCTGGCTCAGCCTGCACCAGCGTGCCCTGCCAGCAATCCTGTTTTGGGTCCCTGAGTCTGCATGCAGAAAAGTCTGAGCAAGGATGTCAACATTTGGTTGCAGTGCACTACCGCTTGCTTCAACGAACCTCAACAGTTTTGCAAAAATTCTACAACCTATTTTGTTCAATTTGGCTATTCTATATTATTTTAGGGGTATTCATTGACTGTCCTTTAAAAAATAAGAGACACAAAGCCAGCCAACAAGTTGTGTTTTGAAACAGTGAGAACTGTTACTGTTTTCCTCCCTAGTGAGTCAGGAGAGTGACTCGCTGTGAGCCAGCACAGAGACCCACACAAGCTGCCTTCCGCATGTCCCTCCCTTCTGTACACCTCTGCAAGGGACTGACTTCAAACAAAACCAAAACAAACAAGAATTTTTAAAATAATTATTTTATATCTACCTTTGCCAAGAGACTATAAATTCCATGAGGACAGAGACTGTGTCTGTTTCTCAACTGCTGCAGAAGCACACCCAATGTACATGGAGGAAAATAAATGACAATACTAAAAGGCTAATAATTAACAAGACATTGAATATAAGTTACTTCATTCTAAGTGCTAAAAATTACCCCCAAAGAATTAGAAGCATTCTGATGTAATTTAAATACAAATGTATATAAAAGTATAATCCTATGATTCTATTAATATATAGTGGTACCTCAGTTCACGAATTCTCTCCAAGATTCTGGTTGCAAATCGAACTTGACAAGAACCAAATCAAATTTCCCCATAAGGTCAACACTGAACCTAACCACTGAATTTGATTTGGTTCTCATCCAACTTGGTTTGCAATGAGAATGGTGGAAACAATCAAGTTCGTGAACTGAGGTACCACTTAATTGCAATACAAATGTCAAATCCTGGAATCAACCTCCATAATCATCTCTCTATGCTCTAGTCAGAAAAAATTACTGTTGACAGTGAGGATCAAACTCCAGTCTGTCAGAGGAAGATACACCTGAGGCCAAAACTGGAAGGCCATAACAAGACACCCTGCAGCATTCCTCCCTGCAGAACCTGACCTGCGTTCCCAGGATGGCTATGAGGAGATCCAGCGCTGGCGGGGGGGAGCGGGCAGAGGGGAGCCATCATCCACTGCTGCAGCCACTAGGAAAAAGCCTGGCAGTGTCTCAGCAAGTTAAAGATAAAACTGAACCACAGATGGCCACTTCCCAGGCCTCTGAATGTTACCTACATTAGTAGGTGGAAGATGCTGACTCAGGGAAATTCTCCTGGGTGATTTGAATGGGCCCTAACTGCAGTCGCAGGTAGACTCACAAGAGTGTAAAAGTAGATGGTCACATTTACAGTCAGCTGATCTTTCTTGGTTTTTGCCAGTACTAGGGGTTGAACCCAGGGCTTTCATACTGAGCTACACCCCCACCTTTCACTTTCTATTTTAGACAGGCTGCTAAGTTATTAAACTGCCTAGGCTGGGTTTGGACTTTCAGACTTCCTGCCTCAGCCTCCCAGAGCACTGGATTACAGGCATGCACCACCATGCCCAGCTTGTTTTTTGTTATTTTGAGACAGGAGCTTGCTGTGCTGCCCAGCCTGGCCTCAAAATCCTAGGCTCAAGCCATCCTCCTGCCTCAGCCTTCCAATCTTTTAGAGACCGAGTCTCCAAACTAAAACCCACTTATTTATCACAAAGTGCCAACACCGCAATTAAACCCAAATACTGAGGTTTTACTTTAGAAAAAACAACTCATACAGCTGTGACATCAACACAGAGAAGGCTCTGCATGCTTGCTGCAGCATGTGTGCCATAGATTCACTGCTAGCCTATAGACAGAACTGCACCAGGCTCAGGCTCAGTTGATTTTTAACAAGCTGCAGAGACAAGTCAACAGTGAAAGAACAGTCACACCAAGCAATGAGATGTGCTGTAGCTAAGTGGTAGAGCATCCCACAGTTCAATCCCCAGTATCAAAGGGAGAAAAGTACTGACTTGTGCTTACAGCATGGATGAACTAAAAATGTTAGGTTACATTAAAAAAAAAGCCAGCCACAAAGACCGCCAAGGTGATGGTTCTTGTGTATAGGGCATGTTCAGACCAGCAAATGAGGAGAGCTGGGAAGAGGGTTATGACTACCTAGGGCTGGAGGTGGGGAGGGAAAGGGGCTGCCAGTAAGTGCAGGGTTTCTCTTTCGGGATGAAGACATTATCATGGTGGGGATGCTGCACAGCTTCATGAGTACATGAAAACTACTGGACTATACGCTTTATTTTATTTGCAGTGCTGTGGATTGAACCCAGGCCTAGTGCACAATAAATGCTCTACCAACTGACCCACATCTCCAGCCCGGAATTGGAATTGTACACTATAGATGGCAAGTGAGTTACATCTCAAACAAGCTGTTACATTTGAAACTTACAAGGTTAAAACAATAGATTAGGTTTCAGGGATTTAGCTCAGTGGTGCTGCCACCTGCCTTGTAAGCACAAAGTCTGGAGTTTGATCCCGGGTACCAAAAAAAAAAGGAGGGTAACTATGAGTTTAATTATTTATGGGAACAAAATTATCTCCCTCCTTAAACCATCTGAAACTAATTTTGATCATTTGAGGTTTTTTTTTCAGGGGGTGATTGTTTTGAGACAGGGTCTCACCATGTAGTTGTAAGGAAAGTTAAAACTTTAAGTTGAAAAGGCTTGGGTTAAGGCTTTCGGCTCTCTAAGGCGCATAATCACTAGTTCACCTCTTCTTTCCCTGGATACCTGGCCAGTTCCCTGGAAAAAAGCAGGAAGGACTTTGTTAAAAAGACCAGATGTTCTTAACATCAAGATAAGGAATGTGATGCATTCCGCCCCTCCCGGACCCCTGGCCAGGGCCTGGTTGGGACGTGACTGCAAGCACATTCACCTTTTTCCTGCCAAAAGTTCAGGTAGTTTTACTACCTTTGTCTAGAGAGCTATAAAAACAGCCCACCTAGCCCAGGCTGCTGCTGCTGTCTTACGCCCGGGATTGAGACCTGTAGCCGAAGGGATTGCTGAAGAGACCCGTGCTGTGTTGCGAGTGATGCACCTAATTCCTCCAACATTCCGGTGTTGTTGCCAGAGAGCCTAAGGGTAATTTCCCGGATAGAGTCCCTCTTGCTGTTAGAGGACTCTCTTTCTTTGTCCTCTCCATTCTTACTTTTGTTTTCTGTATGCGCATATCCTTCAATAAACTTTCCCTTTTGTACTTATTTAAGGCTGGTGGACGTTCTTTTAGCGGATCGAGCCAAATTAATTAGGAGACCGTGCACGGCAAAGGGCAATAAATAAAATTTGTCCTTACAGTAGTTGAGACTGACCTGGAACTCACTACGTAGACCAGGCTGGTCTTGAACTCACAGTGATCCTCCTGCCTCAGCCTCCCAAGTGCTGGGATTACAGACGTGCACCAACATGCCCAGCTGAGATGTTTAAATTTTCTTTAAAAGGAACTATCAGAGTACTAAAGAAAAGATGAATTTGCTTGTAAAAACAACCTTCAAATAAAGATGTCCTTCCGAAATATGAACAATATGAAACATAGGAGCTGAGAAAAAACAATATATTGGTCTACCTAAAGAACTAAGATATCTATGGGAAAAAATACTATGAGCCAAAAGTCACAGGGGCCGGGGATTTAGCTCAGTGGTTCCACCACCTGTCTCGGAAGCGCAAGGTCTCAAGTTGGATCCCCAGTACCCCCCCAAAAAAAGAACAAAAATCACAAAAAAGAAATATAAGGTATATTCATTCACTGCCACTGAACCAGGCCCCTACCCTGACATACTCTATGTTCTTATTGAACTAATGTTTTCATGAAATTAACTTTTAATACTAAGCATAGAAAACTAAAAGGATCCAAGGGTACCTCTGTTCATGAACTTAATTATTTCCACGATTCTGTGTGCAACAGAATTATGTTTGTGAACCAAGGTATCACTGTTTCAAGAAATGCTTAACAGCATTTCCAAAGAGAATGACTGGCTGGGACACAGGGAGAAGGACTTTCACTTTATTTCTTTTCTGCTATGTATGGAACAATGAACATATTTTTTTTTTTTTTTTTTTTTTTTTTTTTTTTGGTACCGAAGATCAAACTCAGGAAAGGCAGGCATGGTGCCACTGAGCTAAATCCTGGCCCTGACTTCTTCTTAAAAATATTTTTAATGAGAGGGCAGAGGTAAGGGGAAAAAAATGAGAATCAAGACTTGCCATGTAAAGGTACATGATCCCAACAATGAATGTAACTGTACTGTATCCCTAAATGTACCAATAAACTCAATTTAAAAAAAATATATATTTTTAATGAAAAAGTCAACAGTCATATACTTAATTACTGCAGATTAGAAAACCTAGAGATTTATTTTTCTCCTGAGAATACAAGATATGGTAACAATTTTTAAAACAGTTATGAGCTGGAGAAAGAATAGAAAGACGACAAAAAAAAAAAAAAAAAACGGAAAGAACAGCAGCAAAAAAAAAAAAAAAAAAGACGGAGAGAGCAGCAGCATCTAGTAAACATGCAAAGCCAGAGCCCCAGGCACTGGCGGCGTCCACTCACCGATGAAATGCCTCAGCTCAAAGCACTGGCCGACAGAGGGCAGCTTCAGCATCTTCCTCCATTTTTTACTACGACCACTTTTTTTGCCAAATCCTCCTAAATTTGAAAAAGAAAAGAGGTATTTTTCTGAGTTTCTTTATTAAAATACTAAATTTATTGACATAGTGCCTGTAGTAGAGAAAAAGGCACTTTTTCAGAGCCAGCAATACCCAGTTACATCAGCTCTGGGCACTAATATATCTCAGTACTTGGCTGTCTAGCTTGGATACTCAAGATGAGTACAATTTACACGTGTAACAACTTGTCCTATCAGGAAGTCAGCTTCACAAAGGATAAATTCTCAAGTGATGCCATCAATCCCTGGCCTGTCCTTTAGCCTCAGCTTCCAAATTTGTGAGCTACATCTAATGTGACATATTGGACAGAGCTACTCAACAAATATTTATATTTCTCTTTGAATACATATTTACTGATCACCTACTATGTACCAAGTATGTTCAAAGCACTGGAAATCCAATGGTAAAAACTACAAAGTCTGGAGTGTAGCTCAGTGGTAGAGCACTTGCCTAGCATACATAAGGCCCTAGGTACCACACCAACACCAAAAGAAGACAAGTCCCTGCCCTACTTCTAAATGAGGGAAAGATGATTTACAAATCCATGATAAGTGATCAGGAAAACATTAGCCAACAATATGATGAGTAATATGAACAGGAGGGTAAAGTTGGAGGGTGCTATTTTGACTCAGTAGCATCAGAGAAGACCTCCTTTCAAGGATCACATGTAGGCATGAGACAGATTAGGGCACAGCAGAGCTGGCCGGGGAAGTGGGCGTTCAACAAGATCCCAGGCACATTTGAAGAACAGTTCCCAAAGCCCTACAAGTAGACTTCTTGTCAGAAGGATGGCCTGGACCTGGTGTCAGTCTGAAGTATGGGATCCCAGAACCAGCTCTTCAACCAGATGTAGAAGTTTTCGCAGATGTCCTTGAGATTTGGACAGCATAAAAGGACGCATCAAATGCATGAAGGCTTTGCTATCATGATTTTCCATGATAGTCCACGGTTTCCCAGATGCAGTGTGTGCTTTTATCTTTGCTCTTACTCTCTTTTTCTATTTACTCAGTCCAAGCTCACTCTGCAGAGCCAGTTTCTTTTCCACTCTGCACTTTTACTTTCTTGAATAAACTTCACCACTGCTTTTCGCTTGTTTCATTCAATTCTTTGTTTGAGGTGAGAAGAACCTGGAATCCAATTCCAGAAGGAGAAGTGAACAACCCAAAAACTGGTAATGTTTAGTTGATGAGCCACTTTTTTTTTTTTAGAAACAACCTACATGATAACAGGCAGATCCCTGAAGAAGGCAAGGAGAGAGCCTCTGGAAAACCTGGACAAGGGAATCCCACATGGAACCAGGACGGCACTAAGAGACATAAAGCAATTTTCAGAAAGTTCCTTCATAGCAAGCATTTTCTTTTCATTTAACTCAGAGGAAATGGAAACATTCAATCTTAAACATACTGGGAGCTGAATTTTTACTGAATGCCATCCAAGAGAATCACATGCCTAAGACTCCAGCACCACAAGGGAGAGTTGGAAAACTGGGAAGAAGCCCACATTTTGCTGGAAGTTGGTGAGCTTTGTCTTCAATGAAAAACCATGAGAGCAGCTATGTGGAAGGTGGAGAGGCCTGGCAAGCTCAAGAGAGAGGGCACAGCTGGAGAAGTGTTGATGTTATTTGTGAGCGACAGTCATCAGCTGCAATGACCTTCTCAGCCTTTCTGTGCTCCTCTTCAACCCACTGAAAATCTCAACTGAGACTATGTGACTACTAATCATGGCATGTCAGCACAGTTCTTGGCAGGTCATGGATGACTAACATGGAGGCCAGCAAACTGAGGGCGGAAGACCCACCCCAGATGTGAGTGGTCCCAACCAATAGGCTTGTAGCTGGGCAGGATAGAAGGGGAAAGGATAGGAGGGCTCCTGGTTTTGAAGAGCTCTAGTCTTTGCTCGATACTGACCTCCATTTTCTTCAGTCTCCAATGGAGCCTCACACCAGCGACTCTCCATGGAGTGTCCAGGCCTTTGACCTTGGACTGGAGCTGCACCCTTGGTCCCTCTTGCTCTGTGGATTCTTCTTCGGCTGAGCAGCTGTTGGATCCTCTACTCTCCAGGATGCAGACAGATGCTGTGGACTCGGCCTCTCATCCTGGAAGCTACCCTAGAATCCATTTCATGGTTCTTGTTGGGGACCTGTCTCCCCAGTAGATTTTAAACTCCTCACAGAGAGGGCTTTTATCTGTGTTATTCACAGCAGTTGTCTCCCCGACAGCTAAATAAGTGCTTTGCATAAAACAGGCATTCAATAAATATATCTTTAGGAAAACAAGAACCAAAAATATTTTGAATGAACAAATGAGTCTGTTAACTACAATATAGTAGTCCATCGTATAAACATTTGTACTTGCCCATGTCCTACTGGTACATGTTCAGTCTTTCTGGTTTACACCATCACAAATGACACTAGTCAACATTCTTGTAAAATGTCTTCTTTACAACCATTTCTGAAGTGAGAGGCCTAGAAGTATAGTTCTTGAGGCTCAGGCATGTGATTTTCAGCATTACTAGATTCTATCCAATTGTTCTCTAAAGTGGTTGTAATTTACCATGATCATTTAAGAAAATAGCATATGTATCTGGTATAATCCCTGTCTTAGTTACTTTTTTCATGGCCAACACCAGATTTATTTGTCTCACTGTTTATAGAGGCTTCAGTTCTTAGGTGGCTGCCTCCAAGGTAGGGTGGCATGGCAAAAGAGAAACAGTTCATGGCAGGCAGAAGGCAGCAAGTGACAAGGGACAAGAGACCAGAGACCTTCCTTCTGTCCTGTATATCTTAACCAGGTTACCACCCTCAGGGTAGACAGAACTCACGCCCAGTGTGGGACACCTTTAATCCTACCCAGAACTGTGCCAAACCAATCAATGAACTAACTTAGTAATCATACATCCTTGATCCAAGTGTCACACTCTCCAGATCCAGCCACCTCCAAAAAGCCCCACTATGACACGAGGCTTTGGGAGGACACCTAGACACAAACTGTAACAATCCCTTTGATAAGAGTTGCTCTGAATTACTTTTCACAGGTAGTGTACATCTGTACAGTCAAAAACAAGACACATTCAGCTGGGTGCTTTTGCACATGCCTCCATTCCCAGGTACTCAGAAGCCTGAGGCAGGAAGATTGCAAATTCCAAGCCAGCCTGAGCAATCTAGTGCAAACTTGTCTCATAATAAAATAAAAGGGCTGAATGTAGCTCAGTGGTAGAGTACTCTCCTAACATGCATTGAAGCCGTGGGTTCAATCCCCAGTACTGGGAGAAGGAAAACCAAGAGACATTCCTTTCCTTGCGTGGAAGAGCTCCTGGAGACGAAGCCAGCTGAGTTTCCTTTCCCCTGAAAGCCAGCAGCAAGTCAGCTACCACCACAGGCTTGTCAGTCTTCATCTCCCAGCTCCTTATCCCACATGGAGAACCAGATACAAGTGTGAAGGTGACAACCAGGCTGTTAGTACTGTTGGGGTCACGTTCAACAGAGGACCTTGCAGAGAGCACTGCTCAGTGTCCATCTAGGACAGGATGGGAAGAGTAGGCGAAGACAGAGCTCAGAGCTTGTCTCAGGCAGGCAGGGCTGTGTGACGAGATCGTGTTTGAAAGAGGCAAGTGCCCAGCCAGCCACGCGGTGTCTCCCTGTGCTTTCTCTTCTCCTGGAGGCCACAGCAGTGATGACAGCCAGAGCCATCCTCCTTGGTTCCATGTGGTTGACAGCGCCCCACCCTGACCACCTGCCAAGGCTGCTACAGGAGAGCGTTATGTTTGCACATTCTCATCAGAGTCTGCTCAAGCAGTTTAACTAGCATATAGTAAACTGCTTTGACAACAGGACAGTTCTAGCTGGGCATGGTGTTGCTTGCCTGTAGTCCTAATGTTCAGGAAGCTGAGGCAGGAGGAGCACTGAGAGTTTGAGGCTAGTCTGCACACATAGTGAGTTCAAGGCCTGTCTCACAATGTCCCCCTCCAAAAAGGAAAAGAGATGCAAATGTAGCTAAGTGATAGAACACCCCTAAACTTAATTCCCAGTACTGAAAAACCCCAGCAAGGAATACTCTCACTTGTCTAACACAGATAATACATAATTAGGTTAAAACCTCCCCAGCTGCATGTGGTGGCTCATACCTGTAATCCCAGCACACTGGTGGCTGAGGCAGCAGGATCGCCCCATGTCTCCATCTGGGAGCCTCTGGCTGTCCAAGTGGCTCCTAGTGAAAGCTGCAGCCCTTATAGGAGCAGGAAGTCCACCTGCCACTTCTCCTGCCTCTCTGTCCTCCAACTGAGCCATGCAGGGTCTTCTCTGACTCTGTCCACCATGCCAGGCAGGCTCTACTGCAGGACCATGGCACTGCTCTGCCCTCTGCCTACAGCGCTCCTTCCTCGGAACTAATGTTTTTATTCATGTTTCCAGCTTCTTGGTCAGGAATTCCCCAACCCTTATCCTTGCTTTTTCTCCATAGCACTTCACTACTACCTAATATGCTATATTCTAATTACGTTTTCCTCACTGGTCTTCCCTATAAAATGTGACATTACAAAGGGAGGGCATGGTGCTTTGTTCTTTCTGCAGCTCTCAGGTACACGCTCAGTGACAGTGGCCGATCCACCAGAGGCAATCAGAGCCTGGGCTCCAGCTAGCCACACCAGGCATCACACCGCAAGGCCCTCACTCTGCACATCTGCATGCAGGTTACTTCATTTTTTCGTTTGTTTGTGCAGAGGGGTTTTTGTAAAGTGATTTTCTTATAAGATCGCTTTTTAAAGATCAGTATATATTTGTCACACCTAGTGATCACATTCATTGTAGGGAATCTGTATTTGTGATGTTTTATTTTTTTAAATGTTTTTAATGTTTTTGGATTTATGAGACAGGTCTCACTATGTAGTTCAGCCTGGGTGTGAACTATGCAGCCCAGGCTGGCCTCAAACTCTTGGCAGGATCCTCTTGCCTCAGCCTCCTGAGTGCTGGGATTACAAGCATGCGCCACCAGAGCTGGCGGTGAAGTGATTTTTAATTGCTTACAGTCGAATGGTTTTCGTTTTGTCAGGTTCGTGTGTGCACATGACACACTCTGATCATTTTCACCCCTCATCACCCAGCTTCATATTCTGGGGTACTTCAGTGTATATATTTTCATCATACCCACCCCCGTCGCCTGTCCTTACAACGTCCTTATTCCCTTCTCCTTGTTCAGCCATATTACTTCTTCTCCTCTGCTCTAGAGCCCACACTCTGGGAAGAACCTGCAGTACTTGTCACTTCTCTTTTTCCCTTTTCTCTCCCTCCCTCCCTCTTTTTCTTCCTTCTTGGGGTTGCACTGAGCTTCAGCCACCCCGCTCCTTCCCTCTGAGTCAGGGTCCCTCAACTCCCCAGGATGGGATCGCAGGCATGTGCCACCAACCCCAGCACTGCTCCACTTTCCTGTCCCGCATCTGTCCCCGGAGACGAGGACTGTGCCCAAGATGCAGGTCTCAGGGCCTGCTGCACCCTGGGACAGACACCAGCAGCTCAGAAGCTGCACCCAGCATCGCTGCTGATCCAGTTCACCTGAAAGCACTACATATATGAAAGGTCCAGGTCCCCAGCATGGACACTCAAGCTCTGCACCTCTACCAGGAGCAGAGACACAGGCCCAGGACAGGGAGCAGCCGAGGCCACGCTCAAGTCTCGACCCCATGACCTAGAAACTGCTCTTCGGCCTGGTGAAAATGGAAGGCTTAGCTTCCAAAGGGGAGCACCGAGGGCTGGCCTGCTGACGACCTACGAGCAGGCGTAAGCACCGAGGGCAGAGCTACAGGCTGAACAGGCAACACACCTCAGCACTTTAATGCTACGTTAAAAAACAATCAAAACATTACATTTGAAATAAAATGAAAAGCCTGCCAGGAGACATGGTGGTGAACACCTGTAATCTCAGCACCTGAGAGGTTGAGGTAAGAGGATCCTGAGTTCAAGCCCAACCTGTCTGCACAGGGAGTTCAAGGCCAAGTACGTTAGCAAGACCCTGTCTCCAACAAGCAAATAATAAATTAAATAAGTTTAGCACACGGAGGTATGGAGCCAACTGGTATTAAAACGTTGAACAAAATCTGATTTGCCCCCTGTTTCCAAATTTCTGCTAGCTTCTTTAAAACTGTAACTTCTGGAGCAGGGGATTTTGCTCAGTGGTTAAGGACCTGAGTTCACTCCGTGGTACCAAACAAAACAAAATAAACAAACAAACAAAACCCCCATAACTTCCGGTTATCACCACAACCAGAATTCCCGGATGTACTCTTTTCTTCCTTCAGTCATCAGTTTGAGTCCACGGGGTATGGGCTGGGTTCCAGCATGGTGCACAGAGCTGACCCAAGCAGCCACGACATTTCCCAGGTGCCAAGAGCACAGGGACACAGTGCTCAAGGCTCCTGCAACTGGAATTGCAGCTTGACAATCCCACCGGGCAGGGATGGGCCAGAAACTGAAAGGCACGGAGCACTGAGCTGCAGAGGGACAAGAGGAAGAAAAGTAGGTAGGGCCCAGCAGGACCCAAGGCTATGATGTCCCAAGTGGTTGACACTTGACCTGCAATGGAGGTCCAGGGCCAACTGTGAATATGAGATCAAAGTGACAGATCCAGGCTGGGGATTTAGCTCAGCGGTTCAGTGGCCTGCCTTGCAAGTGCAAAGACCCGAGTTCAATCCCCGGTACCAAAAAAAAAAAAAAA